AGAGCTAAGATTTTTATCTTTTATGAGGGGTGCCAAAGTCGAAGTGGATAGGGGGAATAAATCTGGATGGCCATTGGGGGGGCAACCATTGGGGTGGGGAGTGTGGGGGACAGGGGAAATATAAATGAAGAGTGGGGATTTGTTGGGCCATAGGGGGGCCATGGCTCCTTGAGGTCCCCATGTCTCCGCCTCCGGGTTGGGATTAAACTTATTCATAGGCCATGCTAGACTTTGCCTTTATATTAACGGAACATATTCAGGCCCAAGCCTGAGCATGACCAAATCATCAGGCCTAGATCTTGAGCCCAAACTTGACCCTCATATAAAGCCCAAAGCCCCGCTAGGAACTTGAGAAAAAAGATTTGTATTCTTTATTTAACAAATAATTTATTTATTTATACTAAATTGACTTCAAAACTGAAAATTTTATTTATTTATTTATTATTTTATTAAGTTAAATATATTATTATCCATAAATTTCTACTTATTTTAAGTAAATCTTTTTTCCTAAAAACTTTTAATTAAAAAATTTACCATTTACAAATTTATTTTTTCCTATGCAATAATTTGACTTTTGCAAAGCCTGCAACGAAAGGTTTAAGGGGGGGAAGGGGGCATGGCTCCCCAATGCCCTACGGTTCGAACTCAACCAATATAATATCAAACTTGAATCAAACTTAGTTAGCTGATTTCATAACAAACTTTATTAAATTGCACCCCTATTCGACGTATTAATTGCTATCTCCTTACTAGATTTGTTCATGGGCCAGGCCCGATGCCTGACCGTGAACAGTTCTATTCCCCACTGCAACACAGCGCAACCATGAACCATGTCGTAGAGTTATAGTTAATTGATCACCATGTCAGTAGAAAAAGTGAACTCAAGAAAAAAAAAAGTGGTTATTTTTTTCATTTTTCATTTTTTTTAATTTGCGCTATATATGTGCAATGAATACTCGACCTAATAGATTATAGAATATATACTGTGCATATGTTTTCTATGATGAAGCATTGTCTCGATGTAGAATTTGCATGCCGATAACATAGAATAACCACTCGCCTCTTTGAAGTGTTACACTGTTTCATAAATTTTGTTTCCATCAAGGCCTTTGTATATATCTCTCATATAATAAATTTTATTTACTTTCTTTTTGGGAGAGAAAGTAATGAACCTCATTGTTCTTGTTAAAAAGGTGTCCAGAGGGTGTATGGGCGAGCAAGAAAGGAGCTACGTGGAAGGGTGAAATAACACCCAATTGACAAACTGGGATACGTGGAACTCTTTGTATTGTTTCAGTTATCACCATTTTTTTAAGTGTCAACGACGTCGCTATTGCTATTTGCAAGGCAGAGGCAGCAGATAGGATTCCGCAACTCGTTCCCCTAACACCATCGAAGAAGAAAGCCAGAGAGCGACCTTGTTTTCTCGTGATACCTAATCTCTCTCTCTCTGGTTTTATTTTCTCGTGACATCAATTATCTCTTTTGATCTTTCATCCATGGTTGTTGAGTTTTATTCTGGTTGGAGGATGAAGAGCGCAAAAACCCAGTGGGAGCAATCTTTTGTGTTCTCCATACAAAAAGAGATGCAATAAAGAAAGCTACAGATATATGGTTGGAGGAGGCCAAAACGTGAACGCCCAACCTCTGTTACTTACGCCCATAAAAAGGGAAACATATTCTTTTACTTTAATTCAATTCATTTCAATTTTCAAGGACTCAACTAACTTTAATTTGTTTTCATTTTACTCAAAAGGTGAAAATGTAGGAACTGTAGAACGTGAATTGTACATCTCTGATTACTTTTACAGTACACACACACAAAAAAACAAAGACTGTAAACCGTGAATGCTCAACTTATTATCTTCACCAACAATATGGGAATCCTATTAAGTTTGAGTAACTAAGCTAAATTTCTTTATATTTAATTTAATAGTTAAGCTTACACATACAAATTATATTGCATATATGCTTTTCATTTTAACTCTTGTTTGTGCTTGTTATTCTTAGTAAACTATATAGTGATAATCTTTTAGCTAGATGATGTGCATGTTATATGTCAAAAGGAGACCCCCATCCAGCAATGAAAAGCAAGATCTCATGTGAAGGTATCCCAATTGAGTTTTTTATTATCTTTTGTTTCATCTTCTTCATTTTCTTGTTTAATTCTGTCCTTTTAGTCGCGAGTAAGTTGGAATTTAGTTATTAAAAAAAAAAAACAACAGAAGAACTACTTTTTCAGTTTTTCCTCTCGATATCTTCATGAAAAATCTAGTGCATTCATGAGTTCTCTTTTTACATTAATTACATCACGAGAGCTTCCATGGTCCATACGCATTTACTCTTGCAACTCCACAGAAGCCAATGAGAAACAGTATAAATTAGGAAGTGGGGTGCTTACGTGAATAATTCACATGAGATTGCCTTCAACCTGTTCGTCACTTGGTTTCTAGCTAATTGCCAATCACTAAGGACTACTTACAAAGTTTCTTGCTTCAGTTCTACTGCTTCAGCAATATTCAAGATCACTCGGCAAAGTTGTTCAATTGGGCTGCTAATTCCATTTGTCCGCCATGGCACCCAACGGAGAAACGTTCGTAGGTTCCTACTCAAGGTGCAACAACTTCAGCAAACCACCTAGGCTCTCAAATGACAGCCTTCACAGGACAGTTTCTGACCTTTCCTTCGAATTCAGCACAGACGCCATGGATGTAAAGCTTCCACCCATTTCCGAAGTGGAGGATGCAAAGTGCGAGTGCTGCGGCATGTCTGAAGAGTGTACACCCCAGTACATTCAGCGGGTGCGTGACAAGTTCTCTGGGAAATGGATATGTGGGTTGTGCTCTGAGGCAGTGAAGGAAGAAGTGCAGAAGAATGGAGGAAAGGGGGAAGAAGCTCTGAAGTCTCATATGAATGTATGCGTGAGGTTTAATAGAATTGGTAGGAGCTACCCCGCTTTGTACCAAGCTGATGCCATGAGGGAGATCTTGAAAAAGAGCACAATGGTGGAGGGGAGAGGATTCAGGGCCAAGTCTCTCAGTCCCAGAGACAAGGCTAATGTGAAGAAGGGCGGGATTGCTAGAAGCTCAAGTTGCATTCCGGCAATTACAAGGGAGAAGAATGACAGCACAGAAATCAATTGATGAGTTTGGCAAGGCAAAAGCTGTCTACATATTGGGAGGGGGGATATATTCTTCGTCTCTATACTATCATTTCTCATGTCTGTTGATTACTCAACCCACCCCCCATTGAAATCTTAATTTCTCCCTTTCTTTTTCTTTTTAGGGTGTTCTTGAATCGCACATCTCCTCTTCCCCCTTTGTTTTTGTTGGGTGGTTGAGGTTACACTTTCCTTTGATCTCTAAACTAATGATCAACGTTTTATCCCTTCTGGGATTTTCTGCGTTGGTCCAGATTTTCTCACCCTTGATATAGTTGATAACCTCACCATTGCAGTATATCCCTCCCCCCTTTCTCTGTACTCGTTATAATCTTCCCTCCCCCGCTTCCCTCCAAAGGGAAAGAAAAGTAAAGAAAGAACAGTAACCAGTTCTAATTAAGTGTCAATATGGCATTTTTGCATATTTGGTTAGTGTAACAAGGCTCTGTGCGGGGTGGGGTTGCCTCCCAAATATATGTAAACCCTTTGATGTACTAAGTGTGTATTTATGGAATTAGTTTTGAAAATTTAATTTCTCCTGTGTTTGTATCTTGAGTTCATACTTTTAAGTCTAAGGAATTATAATTATAGTTCTTCTCCTCTCATGACAAAGCTACAAGTAATAACCTAAGCTCTGATTCTGGTGCTACGTACTCTCATGGATCCATTTTCTTTCCTTTTTTTTTTTTTCCTATTCCTTGCAAATTAAAAATAAATGTTCTGATTAAGAGACTCAAGACATGCGTAACACTATGCCACTCTTAGTTCGTTGATCTCGCCATATTATGTTCTATCTATTGGTATAATTTCTAGGTTGATGGTTTGACCGATTGGTTCAAATAGACATTTCCTTTTGACAAAAAATTTAAAAAATTAAAATAAAAAACACCCAAAAACCATTGAATTGAATGAGTCAAATGGGTTGATGGTTTGACCATTCAGGTCAATGGATTATTGATCAATTTAATGGTTTTTTGTCAGGAACTGAATTTCGGGTAAAACGAAACTGATTGCCTAGACGGTTTCTAAGCCAAATGATTCAACTGTCCGGGTCATAACGATATATACTGTAGAGTTTGCGTAGTCTGAACATAAAACAACTTAGATGCATGATTCATCTAAAAGGGACCTCCATAAGATAAAGAAGGTAATAATACACAATAAAATTAATTTGGGAAAAGTTTTGAAGTATAATCGGAATTGGGATCAAAATTTCCTAGAATTGGAATCGGCATTGCCTACCCCTCACCTATTTGGTTTAGAAGGTATCGAGAATTGGATTCCATAAGATATACACAACTCTTAAGGAGGGTTGGCATTTGCCATTAGGTAAAGGGAAATAAGGTTTTCTTTTTTTTTTTTTTGGGGGGGGGGGGGTTAAGACTTCATTCACAAAGGGGAAGGCCATTCTGCCAAGAATGGGAATTGGAATCCCATTTTGCGCAACCAAAATGCTGTCCGATTCTAGACCTTAAATGTTAAACTAAATGCATAAGCCAAGGAATTGTTGCAAGAAACTAAAAAGAGACTACAAGATGAAAGCATCTTCCCAAGAAAATAGGGGGAGTTTCCCTCTTACATCAAGTATACAACAATTCCATATGATTCAAGGGGGATTAATTTGTGATAAATCCCCATAAGATTCCCTCACATGTGTTAGGGGAATTTAAATATTGGATGATTTTATTGTGCTTAATTGTTATATTTGGGATATAATTGAGTTTCAGCAAACTTGCTCTAATGTTGTCTATTTTGTGCTTAAATTGTTATATCTATTATTTAAATGCTATATTTGTTCTTATATTGTTTTCTTTTGTTGAATGATGAAATATTATGTGCATAATTGAGCTTAAATGAAATATGTAGCATATTATTTGGAAGAATTGTCTTAGTACTCTCTATTTGTGCTTACTATCTGTCTTTGTTTTCATTGTGCGTGTGTGTGTCTATCTATCTATCTATCAATCAATGGTTTGAATATTGATCCTATGTGTTTTTATGATAACAAACTTATTGAGAGTACTAATATATGCTAAGTGTTGTTGCGCGATTTGACTACTCCCAGCTAGAGGGCGATTTGGCTTTCAATCGAGCAGCGAGCTGGATCTACCTACAAGATAGTGGATCAGAGAACCTGGGTAGCTAACCTGATGAGGTCACTCCGATGCTTAAGTCAGTAATTCTGTTTTGCGAGTTAAAAGCTTGATAATTTGAGAGCTAGTGAGTAGAGTAATCACGCGTACCTTTGCCTTGAGGTTTCATGCCTTTATATAGTGAAGTAGTCGTGAGTTTCATGAAATATTTCCGAGATCTCCGGGGTGTGGAGATAAGGTTCGTTCCGGTGTGTAGATAATGCTTATTGTTTCACTTCTGACTCCGGCGGAGCTAGGACAAGTTCCCGAGGTCTCGGGAAAGTCAGTTGGCTCATCGTGATCCGAGAAACTCGGGATCCATTGGAGAGGGTTTTGGAGTCGATTACGTAGTGATTCAGATCATTAGCTCCGAGCTGGTACTTCAATTCTGTAGTCTCGAACTGGATTGGATGCCGAGGTGTCTCTACATCGATGTGGGATTTGGGCCGAGGTGGCTGAATACCCGAGTTTCGAATGTTGCGAACTAGACTTACCGTGCTGAGCTGTCATCCCTTGATCCGATCGTGTCCATGTGTCCCCTTCTTGCTAGGTCGTGCCAAATTGCCCTTCATCACTAAGCTTGCAGCTAAACCAAGTGTACTTTTTTGAGCTAAAATTTATTATACACAACATGAAGAAAAAACTGAAATAATTGCTTGTCACCACTTAGACATCATCATTATCATCCCTCTTAAGAAAAAAAAGGAAGTTCCAAGAAAGAAAATGCTAAGAATCAAGTACACAAAGGAGTAATCGAAGACATTTTACATCAACTCAAGAAGAAGCATCAGCCCTATAAGTCTAAGGGGGCGTTCTTTTTTTTTGGGATTTTGAGAGGAGGGAAAATTGGTCAATGGGATTTTGGTTCCAATTGACCAAGAATCCCATGTTCATTTTTCTTATTAATGTGGGGACTAGGGAAAGTTTATTTTCTTGAGTACCACTTACCCAGGTAAGTGAAACCCATCTCCTAGGTGGGTAAATAACTTTCCCACCTAAGAGGAAAGTTGCTAACACTTGAATGGTACAAAAATGCCCCTTTTACTAATGGATTTTATGACTAAAATGGTTATTACATTATTTACCTAAGAAATAAAAGAACAGTTTCCTAGGAAAAACTTACTAAAGTAATTGCATTTACCCGGATAAATAACTTACCGAAAAACGAACGGGGCCTAAGTGTGTTATCTTTAGGTTCTTGATGTAGTTGAGCTTAACAAGATCAAATTTGGTTGACTCAATTGTAGAGAACAATGTTTAGAATATGTTTGGTTGTTAGGCTTTCCTAGAGTTTAATCTGGAGTTAAAATGTTGGTAAAGTCCCCAAACCTATGGACTAAAGTTTCCAGTATTTCTAAGTATTGGAGTTGTTAATAATCGACTACCTAGTTTCCTATAGTCCACTGCCCTTGATGGTTGAGGCATGAAAATTCCATACACTATTCAATAGTTGACCACCTAGTGCTATAGTTAACTACCATTCTCAACTGAGGCACCAAACTTAAACCAATTGACTAACAGGAGGAAGTAGTCAATCATATGAGAAAAGAACTCCTTCCTTCGACTTGTAATCGGCTGCTAGCTCAACTAATTTGATTAAAATCTAACCGTTAGAGGGCATAACAACTAGTTCGGAACAATGTATATATAACCAATCCCGAATAATTGGAACAATAGATCAATAACCAGAACCAGTTCAATTGGTTCGGTACATTTGGTTCCATCGGGTTAGACCTGATCCATTGATAGCCCCACTCCAATAATGGGGGACTTTATAAAAACGGGGTAGGGTGGGGGGTGGTAGGGGTGTCAATGGACCAGTTTTGAGTCCGATTTGTCCAACTCAAAATCAATTTGAATAAATAGGATGGACCAATAAGACATATTGAATTGGACCAGTCCAGATTTAATGGTCAAAAGCGTTTATTGGATTGGATTGGACTTGGTCCATCCATAATTGATTTATATTGGATTGGACTAAGTTTGGATCGGAATCAATCTATATTAAAACCAATTTGAACAGATTGAACGGTCCATACATTGAATTGGACCGGCCTAAAATGGTCCGAAGTATTAATCGGATTGGATTAGTCCTGATCCATCTGTAATAAACTCATATTTGACAGGACCGGATTGGACCAAATCCAATCTAATTGACACCCCTAGGGTGGGGGTGTTTCTCACCGGTTAATATAAAAACGGTACGGTTGCATTCGCTATATGGTGATCTTGAATGATGTCACTGATTCACTGGTGACACCTATCTGAAAATGCAACCAAAATTTTATAAAAAAGAAACCATTATCTTTGCCTTGGCATCTAAAGTGGCAGCGCAAATATCAGTCCACATCCATCTTCCACGCATAGACTAATATGTGGACAGAAAAACGGACACAGACCCAATCCGAAGAATCGCCGTCAGATGAAACAGTCCAAATATGGCCATGCATACTTCCCCAATGAATGGGCTTCAAGCCCAAATCAAGAAGCTGTGAATCAGTACTTACTTGGACCATAGAATCTCTCCAACGCCAACCCATCAATAGAGGGACATGGATAGGTGCCTAACGTCAGGCAGCCATCAGTGAATGGAGTGGAAAAGAGAAAAGATGGGTAAAACAGAAAGAGCATGTGTATCCAAAAAAAGTATTACTGTAGTGTGTAAGCAAGCGGAGGAGTTGAACACAAAAGAATAAGCACTACTAAAGAGTTTTGGACAGATGTTAGTGGTCTTTAGGGCATAAAGGTAGAGATGATCTTTTTTAATGTATAACAGATACAGATGTCTGGATATGAGAGAAGCCCATTTAAAAGGAAGTGAATAGAAGGAGCGAATGGGCCATTCATGGCTTAACCCAGAGCAAGCAAAATGATTAAACACTTAAATTTTATTAAACACCACAAGTCGTGGTTGTGGGTGCATATAATATCACTTTGGCCTAATTCTAAAGAGAGATACTTTTAATGCCTACCTGTAAATTGGGTAGTGAGCAAGTGACCAAATCTTGACCATATAATCATTTCTTTTGGCAAATAGAAAATCTTATTAAGGGCCATTAATCAGTGCTGAGGAAGGGTGGGGTTAGGTGGTTGACTCCACCACACTTTTGCAAAATAAACAATTGGGCTCCTCCAAAACTAGTTAGTGAGATTGTGGAAGTATTAGGACTTCTAGAAATGGTAACGGCATTGTTAGGAGAAAAATAGATGAGTTATTTTCTTATAGAGCCATAGAATGACTTAATTTTTACTTTTTTTTCCTCTTTAATCCTGTCATTTTTGAATGATGAACGACTGACTTTAGATCATGGTGGTGCCTTGATATAAATTTATGTTCCTTAAAATGATTTAAATGATCTATTGGATGCTAATGATCATACATTTAAGCTTTTATCAGAAAATTATTAAAATTCATTTTTTTTTACAATGCAAATCTGAACCAGATATGAATTTTGCACCCAGTTCAGTTTTACATCCATTTGTCTTTTTACTATTAGGCTGCGTTTGATTGCAGTGAAATATTATTTGCACTAGTAAAAATACATGAGAGTGCAAATGAAAAAAAATGCAAATTCTTGTTTAATTTTGTTTTGGATTTTACTTTATTTTGCTTAAGATCTTGATTTACTTTATTTGTACTGCAATCAAACAAAATAAGTTAAAATTTAAAACAAAAATAGATAAAAAATTTACACCCAAATCATTTACATTATCATAGTTTTACATTAGTGCAAATTTATTTACATTGCAACCAAATACAGCCTTATGATTTACTCTTTTTAATGCAAAACTTGTGCCTTTTGCCTTATTCGCACATATCAATACTGCAGATTTAAATGCAAAATCAGCACTACCTTCTTCCTATTCTAATTCTGTTATACTCCCTCTACGGCTCTACCAAAAAGAATTCCTTATTCCTGCCAAACAAATAAGGGTGATAGATTGGTTATAAGTTTTTCTATATATACCATGTATTTTCGGTATCATAGTCTAACCACTTGGGTGCCATGTCATTTTACTGTATATTTATCTTTTTAGAAATAAACAAACAAACGAAAATCTCATTAAAACCCACCTCACAAATTTTTTACTTTATTGTAAACTTACAATGGTTTAAAGCTTCCAACCAGGTTTTTAAAACTGAATCGGACAACGAACTGGTCAAGGGTCTGATTCTTAGGTTGAATGGTTCAACTGTTTGAATTGAACAGACAGCCCATTCTGACAAAAAAATAATAAAAAATAAAAAACCAGCCAAATCGTTGAACGGTTTGAATGGTTCAACTGTCCGAATCAACAGTTTTTGGAAAAATAACGATTCTAAGGTAAAACAGGATCAGTGACCGATTCCTAATTTTTCCGATCCAACTGTCCGATCCGGTCCTGATTTGAAAATCATGCTTCCACACCCCCACTTATCACAACATACTCCCTTGTATTGACATCAATTCTCCCCACTCTTATCCTATGTCCCTCTTAATTAAAAATATATGAGATGGGGCAAAAGAAGATTTCCCAACAAAAAAATGACTGTCAAATATAAAAGAAAATCAGAATTTACACAGCCCATTTATAGTCTCCATTCATGACCGAACTGGGCCACATTACTACGGTGTACTACGACAATACAATATATATCTGATCCATAACTAGGATCCAGGCCTGCTCCGCTAAACCTATCCAAATAACCTAAGACCCGATAGGATGAGATCCACTTTAATAGTGTGTGAATGCGATCCCTCAATAAGCATCTATAATGCTGTATTTGGTTGCAGTACAATTTTATTTGCATTAATATAAATATATACAAGTATAAATGAAAAAAAAATACAAATTTTATTTAGGGGTTTTACTTTTTTCTGCTACATGTTTTAAATTATTTTATTTGTATTACAATCAAACAAAATAAGTTAAATTTTAAAATAAAAATAAGTCAAAATTTACACTCAAATCATTTACAAAATCATAATTTTGCAACAACCAAACACAGCCTAAAATATTAACAAATAGATCCATCATGACCATCACTAAAAGTGCGTTAATCATGAAGGTTTTACTTTTAGCATAATACACCTGTTTAGCTGAATTTTTATAAAATTGGTATTCCAATTTTCCAAATTCAAGTTGGAATCTGATACGGACACAGGTGTGCGAGAAATAGATCCCGAGTGTCCAAATTCGGTGTCATACCTGCATCATAGATTTACTCATGTTTAAAAACTAGTAATGGTCTCAAGAGGAGGCATCCTGTATAGTATTTATTAAATTTCTTTTAGTGGTATTTGAAATTTCTCAAGAGAACTTGAGTTGTTTTGATTCGGAGTGGACAAATAATTCGAGACCAAATCCTCATTGATCAAAGTATGCGAATGTGGATTAGCCAAACATAAGAGCTTATAACTAATTAGGACAGAGAAGGTAAACTGGATATACTCCTAATCTGTACTAAAATAATAATAATAATAATAAAACTTTGGCCATTCACATTCAACAGACTCCGCTGTTCTCTGCACATTACATGTTAATCCATACAATCATACCTTCAGCACTATTCATATAGGCTAATGTGTCAGATATAAAGAAAGCACTCTGGACAGCAGGTAGAGGTGTGAGTCAAGTGGGTTGGGTTGGGTTGAAGGTCAACCCAAGGCCAACCCCTAAAGGTGTAAACCTCATGCTTGGGTTCCAATTGGACCTTGGTCGGGTTTGAAAGAATTTATAATTGTACTTTTGTATGAAAATCTTTTATCGGGTTTTATTTCCCTGTTTGAAGTAGAATTGATTGAAATATGTACAAATTGAAAAATTCATACTTTTATATGTATGAATTTGTTCAAGCGGATTTGGGCTAGGTCAGGCTAGGGATGTGTTACCAGGTGTTTCAGTCTAAGCCCAACCCAGATTTAATGTAGGCTCAAATTTTCTAGCCCAAACCCAGCCTGTAGTTTGAAAACTTAAGCCCAATTCATACAAAAATTGGGATCAGGCTCATGTTGAGCCTATAAAATTGCAACCTAAACAGTAGAGGCTTTCGAATGTATACAGCCAAAATTTTCTCACCGAAATTGTTCCATCTTCTGAAGAGTGAAGACCCAATGGTTTAGTTTGACTGTTTGAGGTATCAGGGCAGGCTCTCCATGTAATGAATGCTAGTTGGGTCGCACTTGTACCCTGCCATCACTAATACATTAACCCACTCATCTGCCAACTGAGTCTAGCATATAGCACCTGGCCTTCTGTGGGCCAAAGCCTCATCACATGTACCGAAATGGGGGGTCCATATTAACCTTGCTCAATAGAGGTTTTAGAGCTTGAATTTGAAGGGGATCTATTAATTATGGCCACATGGATTGCTAAAGTGACAAACCTAAATTGTTTATATGGCATGGGGCCCAACGTAAGTCATGTATTTAGATGGTCATGATGAAGAAGCAAGCTACCTACTCAGCTACCACATATCATTATTGTTGTATATAGACAGGATTCTATGTCTGTTTAGTTATATTGAGAGCTGTTAAGAGGAAACCATAAAACTAAAGGGATCGTTTGATTCACGGGAATACAGATTTGGAATTGGAATCAGAACGAACTAGTTGCTTGATTGTTGGGTGGAATCGGATCCCATTCTTATTGTTAGTGGAATGACATCTCCCATTTGGAAATAAAGTCCCATTTCAATTTATTTCAATCTCGATTCTTATTTTCCGTCTAAACCAAAATGGATTATAAGAATAAACTATTCCAATTCTGACTCCAAGAGACTTAAATTTCAATTCCAATTCCTATTCTATTTACAAACCAAACGGACCCGACGTCTATACCACCAGGATTTAGGGATAAGGGGGAAAATGTAATTAGATGTTGAGACATTCCCAAGACAGCAATAATTTTATATAAAAGAATATTAAATGTTGATACAGAAAGAGAAAGGAACCTAAGACATAGATTCCTAATGGCCTCTATGCAAAGAATGTAGTGGAATAATCGCACATAAAAGAGCAAATACCTGTTTGGTACACTTGAAATAATGGTAAAAGGAGGGTAAAGGGCAAAGCGCAAGCGCGAAAAACACTAGAAAATGGAGATGAGGGCAGCATGCCGGGTGTGACAAAGACCGCACACTGTCTAATTCCTTCGAGAGAGAGATGGTGGGCCCCGTATGCGCGCGCACGAGCAGTAACGTAAAGACATCCTACTTTTCTTTTCTTTTTTACTTTTGTTTTTCTGCTTTCTGCTTTGTCTAAAGTCCTCCAACAGTCCCACACCACCCTTTCTTTCTCACTCTTGCTTGCCTCATCTTTCTCTCACTGTGCAACCAGTAGACTATAATGGGAGAGAATGGAAGATCATAATTAGAACTTCCAAGCAAAAGGTCCTAAGAATATATGGCTTTTCTCTTTTACATGCATGAACTTCGTCCCATTTCTCTTCAACTAGTCCTCACTTCTTCCTGAAATTAACAGTGAATCCCTTTTTTATTTATCTTGAGCATGAAGGACTCATTTTTGTAGAAAAATTAAGAGGACGTTTGGCAATGTATAAGTTTAGGTTTTTTCAAAATAAAAATGATCCGCAAACAAACGCAGCATATATGTTTTTATTCATGAGAAATATTTCTAATGCTTGGCTGTAAGGGGATGTGAAAACAGTTTTGTAAGGATGAAATTTGAATTCTTTCGTTAGGGTCACATGCAATCATAATTCTAATAGATTTTTATCAGCTGAAGACAAAATCTGGGCAATCTTTCACAAATGAATACACCATTGTTCTTACACACGGAGGGGGTGGTACAAATGTTTGAACTTAAAATCTATCCAATCAAAAATAATTTCAGTACAAAAAGTTAAAACAACTACATGGTGCTTACGTGGACAGACCGAGAAGTGTGGCCTTGACTCTTGAGGCTTATACGGCCTCTTTTCTTTTCCTTTTTCCCTTTATAATAAAAGACTAAGGCAGGGAGTAAAGTGTTTATAGTCAGGTTATGAGGGTAACTTGTGGAGTTTTGCATTAACAATTTTGTTTTTTTTTGGAAGAACAAAAGGACAAACTTATATTAATTCCTTGAAAGAAGAAACATGAATTTTGTTTCAAAGGTTTCAACGGCTACAAATTGTCGCTATCCAATGTGGTCAGTCAAAGAGCATTTTTGTAATATCGAACAAGATCAGAGGAATACCAGAAAAAAAAAAAAAAACAAAATCAGAGGTTTTTCCAACATCTGCCCCTTCAACCGTTTTCGTTCAAACTTGAAACACTTAAAGGAAGCCAAAGTGCATTTTCGTAATTGTACTGAATCAAGACAAAATAATCTCCACCACATCTGCTCTTTTCTATTTATACCGCCTTCTTTCCCACTACACTGTCACTCACACCTCGCTCCTCCATTCGAACTCTCTTTCCAATTGCTCAAACTCAGTGTCCTTTTCTTCTCTTCCTGATTAAAGCTTCTCATCCAAATCCAATGAAATCCAAGTTTCTCTGTTAAAATTTTCAAAACTTTCCAATTTTCGAGAGGAGAAATGGTGCGATTTGGGTACGTAATCAGACCTTCACGTAATCCTTTTAATTTATTGTTTTGCATTAATTTTCTCTATATATTAAAAGGATGAATGATAGAATTAAGATTTTCAAGCCAACTTCGGCTGATCGAACTCAACCATGCATGAAATTTTCTGGTTTTCTTCGATTTGTTAACTTTTTCTATGATTACAGGGTTTACGAGCTTTCACTTGATGAATCCATTTTATTCACGAAGGGGCAGCAAGTGTCGTCCATATGAGCTCTTGTAGGAGACAGACGAGTAACTTGATTTCTCTTCTCAATTCCCTTTTTCTTTGCTATAAGGTTTCTGTAGTTGGAAAGGATAACAATCGGATCAAGTATCTGTCTCGGATTTATTTCTCGGTTGAAGTTTTTTTTTTGTTCAAATCTGTTAGATTTATCATAGATGATAATATAGGTGGTCTCAAAGTACAGACAAGGCTCCCGCGGAGGAAAAAGATGGCGAACAGAGTAGCTCAGGCATGCTTGTCACTTCTTTTCTTACTGCTTTTCAGCTTTAACGCCGTGGCCGAAGGAGATGATCTCGAACTCCTCTTATCTTTCAAGAATTCTATCAACGATTCATTTAGGTTCCTCTCTAGCTGGAACTCTTCTGTTGCTTTCTGCAACTGGTACGGCATCACCTGCGTCAACTCTTCTCACGTTTCCAGAATTGAGCTCTCCGGAAAGAACATTTCCGGCGAACTCTCTCCCTTTCTTTTCCGACTATCGTTCATTGAGAGTATCAACCTTTCGAACAATGAGTTTACCGGTGAGCTTCCCAATGAAACCTTTTCCTGTTTATCTCTTCGATACCTCAACCTCAGTAACAATAACTTCACTGGTTCAATCCCTCGCGGGTCAATCTCCGGCCTTGAGATTTTGGATTTATCAAATAACTTGCTCTCCGGTGAAATCCCCGCCGACATTGGTTTATTTACAGACCTTAAAGTTCTTGATATCGGAGGAAGTGCCTTAAAAGGAAAAATTCCACATTCAATTTCGAACCTTAAAAAACTGCAGTTCTTGACGTTAGCTTCAAACCAATTAGCCGGTGAAATTCCGAGGGAATTAGGCCAGATGAGGAGTTTGAAGTGGATTTACTTGGGTTACAATAATCTTTCAGGTGAGATACCAAAAGAAATTGGTGACTTAACTTCATTGAATCACCTTGATCTGGTTTACAACAATCTCACCGGAGAAATCCCATCTTCTCTCGGAAATCTAACCGATCTTCGGTACCTCTTCCTTTATCAGAATAAGCTCACTGGTTCGATTCCTTTATCAATCTTTGATCTGAGAAAGCTAGTTTCGCTCGATTTAAGCGATAATTCTCTCAATGGACCGATCCCCGAACTTGTAATTCAGCTGCAAGACTTACAAATTCTTCATCTATTTGGCAATGATTTCACTGGAACTATTCCAGTCGCCTTGGCTTCCCTACCCCGACTCCAAGTTCTTCAGCTATGGTCTAACAGATTATCGGGGGAGATTCCTAAAAACCTCGGGAAACAAAATAATCTGACGGTCTTAGACCTTTCGACGAACAATCTCACCGGGAAAATTCCAGAGAGATTATGCAATCTCGGAGGACTCTATAAACTCATACTCTTCTCGAACTTGCTCGAAGGTGGAATTCCAAAGAGCTTGAGTTACTGTAGAAGTTTACAGCGGGTTCGTCTCCAGAACAATCGTTTCTCCGGCGAATTATCGCCAGAATTCACGAAACTGCCACTCATTTATTATCTTGATATCTCGGGCAATAATCTAACAGGCAGGATTGATCGGCGCCAATGGGATATGCCTTCACTTCAGATGCTGAGTTTGGCAAGAAATAGATTTACCGGGAACTTGCCGATATCCTTCGGTAGTAAGAAGCTCGAAAACCTAGATCTGTCGGAGAACAGCATTTCAGGCACTATTCCCCGGAGCTACGGAGGCCTATCCGAGCTAACGCAGTTGAAGCTTAGCCAAAACCAGATTAGCGGTTTCATCCCAGAAGAATTATCTTCGTGCACGAAGTTGGTGACTTTGGACCTCAGCGAAAATCATCTTAGTGGTCCAATCCCAGCTAGTCTGGCTGAAATGCCAGTTCTTGGTGAGCTCGATCTGTCGGAAAACCAGTTAATAGGGGAAATTCCAGCAAATTTGGGAAAGGTAGAATCACTGGTTGAAGTCAACATCTCTCACAACCATTTCTACGGCAGTTTACCTTCGACAGGAGCATTTCTCGCAATCAACTCAAGCGCCGTCACCGGTAATGATCTATGTGGAGGCAATATTGCAAGTGGTTTGCCGCCATGCAAAACAACAAAAAGGCCTGTTTGGTGGTTTTTCGTCACCTCTCTTCTTGTCGTCCTCGTTTTTCTAGCTCTTTCTTTAGCAGTCGTGGCACTGATTCGACACAGAAATGAATCGCCGCTGAAAAAGGTCGACAGCGAATACAGTAATAATATCTGTGATTTGCAGTTGCTCAATTCTGGGGTTTCGAACCCGGTCACCATCGACGACATCTTGTCATCCATAAAAGAAGAAAACGTCATATCTAGAGGAAGCAAAGGAACCTTGTACAGAGGGAAATCTGCTCTGAAAGATGTGCAATTTGTTGTTAGGAAGATGGACGACAAAAACTCGCTTCCGCCGAGTTTCTGGATGGAAACTGTGGAGTTGGGAAGGTTTCGGCATCCAAACCTGGTTAATTTGATCGGAACATGTAGGTTGGAAAAGGGTGCTTTTATCGTGTCCGAGTTCATCGAAGGGAAGACTTTGAAGGATATTCTTAGTGGTTTAAGCTGGGAACGTCGTCGGGAAATGGCTATTCGGATTATGAAAACTCTTTGGTTTCTGCACTGTCGATGTTCTCCGAGTATTCTGATAGGAAACCTGTCGCCCGAGGAAGTAATCGTCGACGTGAAAGATGAGCCCCGCCTGAGGTTGAGTCTTCCATGGTTGGCGGGTGGCGAACTAAAAGGTTTTCTCGCTTCAGGCTACGTAGCACCAGGTACGTTTCCAGTCTCCAATCCCACTAGAATCATTGACTATTACGTTAAGGCCCTTAGTTCCTCACAATTCACATTGATTAGCAAATGAAAGGAATAGGCTAAGGAGAATTTCGTAATTTGATTAGGCAAACCGAGAGTTCACATCACATGGATCACGTTTTTATTTTTTCTAAATGACAAGAATATCTTCGATTGTAATGCCATGCACGTTTCACCTGCTAACTACGTGTCTGGTCTGTGAGTGTGGATAACAGAGACAAGAGAGACGATGGATAGCAGCGAGAAGAGTGATATATACAGTTATGGTGTCCTCTTAATAGAAATCCTAACCGGAAAAGGCCCGATTGATGCGGAGTTGGGTCCGCACGGGGACATCGTTGAGTGGGCCACCTACTGCTACAGAGAATGCCATCTCGACACGTGGATTGATCCTGCAATCAACGGGCACGCTGCATCAAGCCATCAGGACGAGATCGTGGAAGCAATGAATCTAGCACTGCGGTGCACGGCATGGGACCCTGCAAAGAGACCATGCACAAGGGATGCACTGAAAATTCTGGAGTCTGCTATGTGGAGGTCGAGCTGCTATATTCCGGGTCTGAAATTTTCGTGCAATATGTGATTTGGTTATGTGTTTATTACAACTCCTCCTCCTCATGTTCCCTTTTTTCAATTATCTATTTTATTTTTTTTTTCACTTCTGATAAATATAAAGGCTTTTACCAGAGTGTTACTCAATGAGTCAATGTTTTATTTGCTACTACTATAGTGAAATGAAATCGAGTGTATTAATGTAAATAAACCCATTTCCATGCCCATTTGTATTAATATATATTATACATCTTATGGAGAAAATAGAAATGTCTTCTTTGAGCTGAAAGCCTGAAACAAAAAGTGGACGAAGTCTGGGTAGTGGTCGTAGGCAGTACGTGGGATGTTGTGGTCCGGTGACGGAAATGGTCCAATAAAGAAACTTATGTTGCCGGAAAAAGAAAAGAAATCCAACCTTTATTTTTTGGGGAAGAGAAATTCAACCTGAAGATCTCAGCCATCTGATCCTACTTTTTGTTTTTAGGGGAGATTGTTCACTTGTTCTCTTCTATTTGTAGGCTTCTTTATCCGTCTTGGCATCTTCAGTCCTGACCCCTTTGTGCCTCGGAGAGAATCCCTTTTTCACATCTCGAGCACGAGGAGGAAGTCAAGGAGCTTTTAACTGAGAAAGAGTGAGTGGAAATCCCACTTGAAGGGTCGTATTCAGAGTTCTCACTCTCTTTCTTCACCTGGCAGAGTGGAAGAAGTTGAAAAATTCTCAAAAGTACCTTGCCACTTTAGTTTATTCAACACTGAAGAGTAGTGGGTTTGTTTGTCTTAGTTAGTGGGTGGCTCTCACTTCTCACTAATTAAATCAAGTTTGTTGCCTTTCTATAAATGGACGAAGGGCATTAAGGCAACGTTTGGTAACACTGCATTGGAAACTTTCTGGTACGTAGTTCAGAGAGAACAAAAGTTACGTACTTTTTATTCTTCCAAACACCAGAAATGTTTAGTAAGATGTTTCCAAACACTGCCCAAGCCTCCTTTTCAATTGTGGGAAGAGGATATAATTGTTAACAATGCGGAGAAGGGGTGAGGCGGTCCCTCCCAAAAAATTTCGACCCATTCTGCTTTAGGAAAGTTTGGCTGGCCGGCACCGATACTGTTACAAGGAATCTGCGTGAATTAATGTGCCATAGAGGGAAAGCCCTATCGACAGCCTAGGCTGTCTAATGTGGACAGTCAAAGCTTTTTCATTCAAATTTCGAGCTTGGCTATGTGGCCAACTCTACTTCTGCCACGTGGATGGATCTTGTGGTCAGCAGGCTGTCCATCAAAGAACATACAGGATAGGCCATATGTTCAATCCTAAATGGGCATGTGGGAAAAAGAAGTCAAAGTTATAATATTGTGCATTTGAAGATTTGGTTTTGGAGAGATGAATGAAATAGGAGATACAATTTTAAAATTTGCAATTGCTTATGATTTAACAATATTAAAGAAGAATGAACATTTAGTAACATTTAAAAGTAAACCAAACTTAACTCACAAATAGATTTTTATCTTACTAGCAAACATAAAGAACGATACATAAAAAATTATAGTTATTTCAAGGGAAATTTTAACCACAGAACATAAATTAATGATTGTATAAGTGCCCATTAAAAAATAGAACAGAAATAAGGTAAGAAATAGGTGCCCAATAAATAGATGAAAAATCTAAAAGAAGAATAAAACAGTCCATATCAGTCATGCATATACCGTACACCGCATGGTGATTTTCGTCATTGAGATGAATCATCTAGGCTTAGTTTCGAAAGAGTGTACATCATGATTTTCAAAATCGGACCGTATCAGATGATCTAATCGGAAAAACCAAGAATCGATCATTTGATCGGATTCGTTTTATCCCAAAACTGTTTTTTGATAAAATACTGTTGATTTGGTCAGTGAACTGTTGACCCATGTGGTTGAATTGTCGAATTATCGATATGAACAATGATTTTGGTCATTTTTTGTTTTTTAATTTTTTTTAGAGTGAGCCATTTGTTCGAATTGGACGGTCGGACCGATCAACCCAAGAACCAGACTCCAGAACGGTTCCTTGTCCGGTCCAGTTTTAAAAACCTTGTGTACATTACCAAAGGTTTAGAAATACAAATATGGACAGCACAAATATGTACAATATAAAATATACAAGGTTTACACTCTTCCCAAATGGAGCTTAGGCTCAGTTTGGAAGGAGTACAAATACAAATAGATACAAAATAATACAAAATACACGGTTTTGTACTCTATATATTTGTATTTGTACTCCTTCCAAACTGAGCTTTAAGACTTAGTTTGAGAAGAATACAAAAACAAATATGTACAATATAAAATATACAAAATATAAGGTTTTGCACTTTGCATATTAGGATTTCTAAAGGCTTAGTTTGAAAAGAGTACAACTTGCACAAATACAAATTAGTCCATTGCAAAACCTTATATATGATCTATATTTATATTTCTAAACCTTGTATTTGCACAATTAACTCCCCTACCCATTTTCTTTTTCAGATTTATGTGGGGTCCATGGATAATTTATTTTCTCTGGGTGCCATACCCATCTCTTATGTAGGTAAGCAATTTTCCCACCTAGGGGAAAGTTGCCAATACTTACATGGGACAAAAATGCCCCTTCTACCAATAGCTTTTCATAGCTAAAATGATCATTCTCTTATTTATCTCGGAAATAAAAGAGATTATAACTTCCTTGAAAAGCAAAGTCTACAGCCTCCCACCATTTAGACATGTGGCCTTCTCATTTTTTTTGGAAATTTAAACACGTGGCATTTTCCGAGAAGTTGTTATTAAATCTCACAACCCACTACCACCATTCAGACAAGTGGCCCTCTCATTTTTTGGAAAGCTAAACACATGGCAATTCCTGATAAATTCCTGCTAAACCTACAACCCACTACCAAGCTACAACCCACTATCACCATTCAGACACGTGGCATCCTATTAATTTAAGAATATGATTAAAAAATGGATAGTTTCACTCATAAATATTCTCAATAGGCAGTTATTTATTAGCTTAACACATGTTCATCTGAGTTCGGATCTCTTGTCCATGAGAACTTTGCCCACGTTTGCCCACATAACATCATAGCCACACATGGAGAATATCTCATCCCCCTGAGATGTTCCCAATTTACGGGGGTAGTGTGTTGTGAGTAAACGTGGGCAGAGTTTTCGTGGGCAAGAGATCCCACGTCTATTTATCCGTAGTCTATTAAATACAAATGGTGGGACCTATTAAAAGATTACCATAAACCCATGTTTGTTTTTAAATGATTTTTTTTTTCAAAAAAATACTTTATTAATCACAAACTTGATTTAACTTCTAGGAAGCAACCTAATTTAACTTTTAAAAATAAATAATTCAAAATAAATAATAAATACCAAACAAAGTGGGTTATTGTTTATCAATAAGATTTCATTTAATATCTTAAATCAAATTAAAAAAATAAATTAATAGTGGGTTTCAAATAAAATAGGTCAGAATAGATTGCCAATTACAAAGATGTAAGTCCCATATTAATTCTTATTAATTTAGTTTTTGATAACTAAATAGTAAACTTCAAACTAAATTATACACACATTTAGTTACCCTACTTAGTACAGGGTCATTCTCTAGTTTAAGATATATAGCAAAGTATTTGAGGCTAGGAATAACAATATAGGAAAAGTGGGGAAAGAAATTTGGAGACATCATTTGGAAAACAAAACATACCAACATTTGCAATAAAACAATCACTGATATGATACCTCATACATTGAATTGTCTTCCCAAGAAAAACCATTACAAGATCTCTCACATCTAATACATGATGGGTCACAGTCTTATGGTGAGACAATAGACATAGATTGATTTCACATCTCTGCCTCACAACGTCCCACAATACATCCCCGTCATGTATTGAACTGTTAGACGTTGTGGGGCAGAGATCTGAAGTCACATAGATCATGTTAGAACCGTGTTGGGAGATCCCAACTCATCATTTCATTGTCGCAGCAGATTTTTTATCAAGCAGTTCACATCCATTGTATGACATGTTCCTGTGTGCAGCAGATGTGAATTCGCTCCGTTTAATCTCGAAAAAGTTTGTCACTTAATTATATGATTCCACAGTTTAGGGAAAATCACTAATGACCAGACTATAATATTAGCTCTTAATGCTCTGCTTGCTTGTAGTGCAACAGTTGAGTACACGCAGAAATAAAATATAAGTTTCAGTTCTCTGTTAAAGAATTACTTTATTTTGCTTTAAGTTTTATGTTGTTGAAACAAATAAAATAAAGTAAAATTTAGAACAGAAGTAAATCAGAATCTGCATACAATTTATTTACTTTCCTATATTTTTGCACCAGTCCAAATTAAATTGCACGGCAAACAATTAGGCGTAAATTTATGTATTTCTTATCTTATGTTAAGCCACACAAATTTATTTTGTTTATTACAAATTGCCCTTGGTTCGATGTACGAATTTGGGAATTGCCTTCAGAAAAACAAATAGACGTGAATAGGTGATTTCACCCTTCAGGCATTAGGCCTGTATTAGAGACTAGGGACAAAAACAAGGAGAAAAATACGAAAAGTGAATAGATCATCACTCTAATAACGGTAACTGTAGCATAATAGCATTGGACAGAAAAGTCTATAAATTAAAAAAAAAAGGAAAAGAAATGCCATAAGGGCAACGGCATTATTGCTCTACCTTTTACTTTGCCCTATCCATTACATATTCAATCAATAAGAACATTCAAAAGGTAAAAGCAATAGCCATATGAGGAGAGGCAATAGCCCGCTGCCTATGGCAAACTGGCAATCAAGAAACATTGAACTTATCCAGAGAAGCATTCCACAGAAATATATATCAGAACAGAAATTGGGTGCTTTCGATTTCGATACAAATATATTTCAGCATCATGAGGTACAATAAGATTAAAAAAATAAGGTGCATTTGGTTCGTATTCGGAATTAGATTCCTATAATCTGTTTGGTTCAAATAGGAATGGGAATGAGAATTAGAATTGGAATCAACAGGAATGATATTTCGTTCTCAAGTGAGGAGTGGGGAATGGCCATTCCCTCGAGCAGGAATTGGAATGGGATTCTGATTCCACTCAACCAAACAGTTGGAATTGAAATGCCCATTCCGATTCTGATTCCATACCCCTATTCTCATGAACCAAATGGGGCCTTAATGGATAGAAATAATTTAAGGCTCCTTTGGTTCATGGGAA